AATAATTAAAATAGAAACTGATGGTATAAGAATATTGTTGAATATCCAAATTTATTACAATAGTTTTCATTAAGTGACCTAGTTTTAAGTGCCATATTCAATTTTATGTGAAATGTACGTGAAAACATCGAAAAAATTAAGTCCACCCTCGTAAAACGTCGATTTGACCAATTATTTAACATTGAAAAAAAAAAATATATTCTTCAGATCGAGCTTGGCTGACATTTTTTTAAATGATTTTCGTATTTAAATGTTTGCTCATTGCTAAATTTACCAAAATATAGTTATATCCAAGGCAACATAGATTGAAAATCGAAGATTGTAAAAAAAATAAGCAAACTAATTGTAACATGGCGGTGGCATAAAAGTTGATTTTCATGGGTCATTTGTGAAAAAGTTGTTTTGCTTTCAAGAATTCCTTAACAAATTAATAAGGTTTTAAAATGGCTTTTATGAAGAAAACTTGCAGGCTGAATTGTATTTATCTAAAGCCATTTTGCTTGATCCTACACCATTCAGATTAATTGCAGCATTTATGGAGGCAAAGTTGCCTGCAGAAAGTTAAACGTCAAAGTTTGTTTATCTTTCGATAGTTGCGCTGTGAGATCCAGGATTCTTCCAGGCGGTTTTCTCCCGATGGATTGTGAGCAGTTACTCAGATAGTTTGCGATGCTGTTTTACAACATTTCGCATTTCGAACAGCTGGAAGCGCAATCGTTCCCGAAAAAGATCCCCTTCTTCCGGATGGTTACAGAAGTGCACCATCCAATGATGCAGAGATGTACGGTTGAATAAAATTTTCGAAGAGTCTTTCGCCGAATAAAATCGCTGCTTTGGATCGGAAACAAGCTGATCTCCGCTATCTAACAGTTTCAGTGGTTTGCTGTCGGTTGTTATTTCGATTGTCATCGCAAGATCTGGAGAAGGCTGGTATGTTTTTCAACTTTAGACAATGTTTTATGAGTTCGAGGGCCCCGCTCACTTTACTCTTCTCAGACAGATGGTAAGTCGTTGGTGGTGTGCTGGTTCTTCTAAAGAAGTTAATTTATCTGAAATTGACTTGATTTTTTCATCCTACTTCGTCTATCCCTCGAGATTTCCTTGTCATAGATTTGGCATTTAGTAACTATGAGGAACCATCTTTTAAGCTCAATTTGTAAACAAAGTAATTGGGGAGTTAATGATGCTTTTTAAAAAGGCTAAAAAGCAACAATAAATGCTTTTTTCTCTAATGCAAAAATTAATAGTTTTATGGTTGCTTTTATAATGATAGAACACGTTTATAAAGTATTTTATAATGACATTAATAAACAATTGCTAATGACGTTTATGCTTGAATTATAGAACAGTTTTAAGGAGGGATTGATAACTGTTTTAAATTTATTTTTAAAACAAGACAGTTTTTGACTTTCTTGCCAGACTATAAAAGGTTTTTAAGACAGCAAAAAGCTGAATTACTAAGCAGGAATGTTTTACACTTTAAAATGCTATATTTAAACTAAGTGGATTGTTCATTGCCGTTATAAAACCATCATAAATCATAGTGGATGCTAAATGGTTACTGAATTGCTACTTGGGAGAGGACTGGAGATCTGGGCAAAAATGTGAAATGACCGATCTGAACAGGCGGATTGCTTCCAGAATGGACTCACTCCGAAATGAAAGTTTCGGGCGTGTTGTCCAGAATCTGGACGACCGCTCCAGACCATTCTGGAAGATAACCAAGGTCCTTAAAACTCATCCCAAACCCGTTCCACCTCTCAGAGTGCACTAGAACTCATTTAACTGTTGTTTGTAGACTACTTATTCACTCTCGAACTCATTGCCTGGTAATTGAATTCCATTACTAGTGTTGGGGGCGGTGTTAATTTGATTATTTGAAAACTGGTGACAAATGAATATATTGTCTAAAATTAAATTCAAAATCTGGTACTCGCTACAATCTATGTGCACAACTACCTTTATTTATGGTACAATTGTAATATTTTAGGGGATTTTTGTTTGATTTACCGGTGCAATTTCTAATTTTTAGGGGCAAAAAAACTATTTCCTATTGGTACATATCACAATTTGCTATGGGCTCGTTATTGTCTTTTAAGGTACATTTTACATTTTTTATTGATATATTAAATGGACTACCATTCCAGTATTCTAAAAAAAAAAAGATGCTGTAGTGTCTTACGATTGACTACGGTTCCAGGAGGGATTGCCAAATATCACTATCCACAACCAACCAATCAGTCCCTGAACAGCGGCGCCGGTGGTGTAGTGATAAGCCTGATTGCCTATCACCCCAATAGGCCTGGGCTCAATCCCAGTCGGCGCCGCCGGGATTTTCTGAGGCATAAAGTGGTCTCCGGTCTATGAGTTGATGGGCCGATAGGTAGGTTTCAGAATGATATTCCGTATGATCCCAACATTATTTTAAGAGAGTTCCAATAAAGCGGAAACGGAAAAGTTGTATTAAGATGCATTAATGGTGTGATTTGGTTATATGAATAAAAGAATTTATTGAGCCTTAAGACTTTTTTTTTAACCAGTTCGTTTAATTACTAGTTTAAGTCGTGTGTGACATTTTGCCGTGCCAACAATCAGTAGTGTTTGAATTAACATTTTAAACAGCTGTAGTTCTAGGTTAGTATTGGGTACCAATTACTCGTGGCGGGCTCGGGGTTAAAGGGTAACACATTCGATTGGAAGAAGCTAGGTAGGAAACTGGTTTGTGTAGCCTCCTTCTGATGCTACTCTCGGACGGTTGTCCAAATCCTGGCTGGGCAGAGGCAAGTAGCACAGAAACAGGAGGATAATAAGAATGGGACACAATGGCTGGAAATTGTTTGGAATGGAGGGGACGGTCACCTCAAACTCTAATATTAAACAAACAAAGGAATTCGTAGATTGCCTGCATGTAGGGAAGATCACGGGTTCCCAATACATCTCTTACTTCACGGAAGGGTTGTCTACCTCGGGCCACTAGGGTATTCAACAGTCGTGCTCTGGAGACGTCATTACTCGGGCAATACCAAACTGCGTGATCGATGTCCTCATAACCGGTTCTACACCAACATATATTGCTGTCAACGAGGTTCATTATGTAAAGATGTGCGTCTAGGGAGTAGTGGTTGGACATAAGTCTTGACATCACGCGAATGAAGCCCCGACCAGACCTTTGAACCACGCTCTCAAAGAAATATTTGGAATAATGGAATGTAACCACCATCCAATGTCCAATCGTTTTGCCAACTTAAAGATAAATCTGACGTACTAATGGGAAACATTCATCATGTGAAATTCTTCTATCATAAATCTCGCCTTGTTGTGCGCCCACCTTTGCGAGAGGGTCTGCCTTCTCATTGCCTAGGGTTGAGCAATGTAAGGGGACCCATACAAAGGTAATCATTGGACTGATGCAAAATTTGAAATTTTCGCTCCACAGTGCTCAAACGATTCCAAATTGGGTCCTGCTTAGCCTCCAAAAATTCGAACTAGTTTAGTAAGAATCTGAATTGGCACAAACCATTTCAAGTTTATATGGGAATTACTATGGGAAAACTTATGTTTTTGTTTATGTCTATCTAACAATTCACCACATGACTGTGCTTTCAAAAATGATAGCAATGATTGTAGCAAATTTTTTCAGCTACAACTTTGTTCGAAACCACTTTTCAATCAAATGCCCGAAACAAAAGTTATTAATGATTCAAGTCACTGATGTCTTATGATTATGCTCATTCAACTGTTCAGCAGGCAACATTGGTGTATCTGGTGAGAAGAATAGAGCACAAATATCATGGCTACTATGTCACACTGCAGAATACAGTGTTGCTAACAGAACAGCTGCTTGATCATGCCATAAGATTATCAATCTCTTAAACAATTAATAATTATTTAATTTGACATTTGGCTGAAAAACGATATTTCGCAAAGTTGTAGCTTAGGAAAATTCCCGTAAGAATAGTTATAGAACTTTTCGAAAAAGCAATATGGAAAATGAGTAGAAGACAATGAACAAAAAGTTTGGTTTTCCCATAGTAATTTCCATTTAAACTTCGAATAATTTGTGCCAAGTCAGTTTCTTACCAAATGAGTTTAAATTTTGGGACGCTAATCAGGATCTGATTTGAAACCGTTTGAGCATTGTGGAGCGAAAATTTCAAGTTTTGCATCAGTCTAGTAATCATATATGATCTTTCGACCAGCAAACTCATCTGCTCCTTTGAGCATTAAGACTTGCTGTCAGATAAATTTATCAAATAAGTAAATAAATAAATATTATGATTTAGGTCCTCAATTTGGAAATCAAGATAACAACCATTTTCGGATTGCGAAAATGCTTCAGATATCGTGCAGATATTTTAAAAACAAGAACAAGTAGTCATCATGATTTTAGTTGATCGAATTTTAGCTATGAGTCTCCGAGTTTTGTTTTTGTATTTAATATACTACTGATTGACTCGTCCCTCGGTTTCCACCCACCCTCCCTCACCCGAACGCCCCTTTTCACAACTTTTACACTTCATTTCATTCTACCGGGGTGGACGCCGACAGGGAAAAAGATATGACGGGTGAAATTGAAACTTTTCTACCACCCGCTGATGCCGAGATGTGTGAAAGCCGGCTTTCCTCTTTGATTGTACTGTGGGAAATGCCGTCTGACGTATTACCATCCACCCTTGCCCTCGTACGTCACACAAACACAGACTATGCTGCGGTGTGGTGGTGGCTGGTGAACACTGATTGAGAGACACGTGTTTGTTTATTCATGTTGAAGGGAAGGGAAAAATGTTGCCTTTTATTTCTTGGTTTTTTTCCCGTCCATTTATCCAGGGTTTTCCAACTCGCATTAGTAGTGATAATGATCTTTGATTCCTTCGGGAAACATTGGGGAACGGAAATAAAGCAAACTTCTTCATTTCCCGGATTGAATTGATGAACTGTGTGGGGGTGCTTCTGGAAGTGGTCTCACCTTTAATTTGTGGATTGATTTGCTTTCTTTTCAGGACGGAATGGGTCAGCTGAAGATAGTTTCCGGAGGCATTCAACTGACGGGGCAGGCAATGGTTCTGGACATTTTACGAGCTTCCTCGATACGTTCCAAGCACGGGCAACCGATTTCTATAGGTAAGGCGTGGTCAATTAACTTTTTCGGTGTTAATGCAATCTAAATTAATCAACTTTCAGAATCTTCGCGAAACTTTAGTGTAAACACTCGTGATTTCGAGGGATACTTGGAAAATCAACTTTTTTTGGGACACGATCGGTTAGAAGTGCTGGCGAATCACTTTCGAGTGTCGGACGCTCATGGCACATCCCTTTTTGCTGTCGATCGTGATGAAGTCTCCATTGGAGCCAGTTCGCTCCGAGTCGAAGGAGAAGGTGGAGTCATTTTCAAGGATTCGATCCAGACGCCTTTAGTACGGGCAGAGGCCGGGAAGGATCTGAAGTGAGTTTGTTGACTGATTCTTAGACAACTTCTTGCTAGGAATATGAATTGATTTATTTGTATACTCTAGATTGGAATCACCAACACGATCCCTGGAGGTACGCGCAACTCAGGAAATATTCATGCAATCACGTGCCGGAAGCATTGAAGCCAACTGCCTCAACGATCTCAAGCTGCATTCTGTGGCAGGAAGCGTAAGTTCTTTGAACCTTACGATATACTCTAGCGTCCTAAACTTTTACGATTTACGTCACGTTCTAACAGATCCGCCTGGATGCCAGCTCGATTATCATGCCCAATCTTCGAACCGTTCAGGCTCCATCATCTTCCTCGTCTGGATCGTCCCGAGACCATGGCAGCAGTAGTTCAACATCTTCTTCTTCGTCGTCTTCGTCCCACAGTAAAATCTATCAACTGTGTGCCTGTTCCAATGGAAAACTATTTCTCGCTCCGGCCCACAGCATATGCACGGCTGACGACAGTGCCATCTGTAGGTAATATTTTTTACTCTCACTTCCCGTAGTAGCAATTGCATCAAAACGTCATCAAACAAGTAGCCTAATTATGCATATAATAAAACCATGAACTTAGCTAGCCATGAAATGTGTAAATAACTACGAACGTCCATGGCCTACTGCGTGTTAAAATTCGACGCAAGGAAACATTCTTATTTTGACACAAGTTAAAAATCACGGACCCTTTAGAAAAAAGTATAGCCTAAAATTTATAAATTCAGGTTGAATTCCAACAACACGAAGCAATTGTTATCGGAAATTTGTTACATTTGTTTTACGTCGGTCACTTCAATGTGATTTCCCTCCACCTAAACCAGAATCAACCCCTTGTAGTTAGATGTTTGAATGTGGAACCAAACACAAATCATCACCTGAAATGAACAAATTCTTCAAATTAACCTTCTAGCGAAAAAGTAAAAAGAAAACTTATTGAAACTGCAGAGCTTATAGTCGATCAAATAACCGATGATTCATAAAATACGCCAATTGAAGAACGTTAGACCCCAAATTAGACGCATTATTGTTACATTTTGGCTCAAGAACAAAATAAATCAAAAACAGAAACATTCAAACCGATTCGTCACATTCGTGAATGAACAAAAAATAGCTTGAAGCTAGTCAATCCAGCATGCACTAGGTGAACCGATAGGTTTAAGGAAATTGTGAAACAGAAAATAAAGCTCTGCAAGGTCACCAATTCAAATGATAATCGAAATACGAAAGTTTGATAGTAGCAGACGAAAGAGAGGTATAGTTTTTCATAAAAAAATATACATATCATATACAGTAGCTCATAAGGTATCGAAAGAATAAATATCGAAAATGATAATTCGTACACTTTTTGATTGAGGTGAACGTATCCGAAGGAATTTTCGACTTATGGTTGCAGTTTGTATAGGATTTAAAGGTAAGTTGAATTCGATGGGAAGAGTATTTCAGGTTATCAGTACTTTTTCTAGGTGCCGTAAAATGGGGTAACATTGATAGTTTTTTAGAGTATATTCTAAATATTTTTACAGCAATGAATGCTTTCAAATTTTTATATTTTTAAAACAAGTACTGAGGATCCAAGAGTTGATTCGTTACTAATATGTTTAAAGAAAATTAAAGCATTTACACTATTTATTTTTAGTTTTGTGACCGAACTTCAGTATTTTGATTTGATGATGATGATGATGGTCCCACCTCTTACACCTACAAAGGTTTGAGCTGGACGATTTATCTTTAAGATAATTAAATGTAAACTTATTAACCAGGTTAGTAACAAAACGATTTGGTTACATTTACAGATATAAATTCCCTCTAGAGTTTACAGTTGCTTCACAGCGATATAAATGTGACAAAGCTTAGGCATCCACGTCTTAGTTCGTCTTTTTGTCCACCTAAAATATTCATAAGTATTACAAGCGATCAAGAGTTAATGAACAATCAACAAAGCATCGTATTACACTAGCAACCCCGCAATCTGATGCTCTCATAATTTTCAGCAATGTCTGGAATGCTCACGAACCCCCAACATTTGCCAGAAAACTTACTACTAACTCAAGGTATCTTGCAAATAAGCTTCAAAATTGCATTTCTTTTTTTATCAAATGTTAAATTCAGTCCTCTATATCCGTAATACGCGCGCGAGGCTCAAACCTTTGTGGACTACTATTTTTTTTACTACTACTATTAAATCAAAAAATCCATCATCACCATCGTGGCGAACAAAATAGTTTTTGCAGTGCTACAATAATTATTAAAAAGTCGTTATAACAGCTATCCATACAAAACAATCCGTTAAAAATAACTTCGTTAAGATACATAATTTGTCAATTCATAAAAAAAAATCACTGGATAACCGTTCAAAAGACAGTTTTAACGTGTGAAATGCAATGTCTCTTAAATTCTGCTAATGTTGTTGAACGTTTAATGTGTCTAGGCATCGAATTGAAAACATTTATTCCTTTAAAAAATAATGAATTCTGTGAAGCACAAGTCAAGAAATGTGGTGTTCTTATTTCATCCGCGTTTCTAGTATTATATCTATGATAGTCACTTCCTCTTTCAATTCGATCACACAAATATCGAGGCAGCAAACCGTTAACTACTTTAAAAATGAACACCATAGTCAAATATACAATTCTTTGCTTCACCGACAACCATTGTAAGGCGTCTAGCATCAAAGTTGAGGAAGTGAATCTATTACATCTCAAAATCAAACGCATTATTTTACTCTGCAAGTGCTGTAATCTCGATATTTGTGTTGCATTGGACAGAAATAAAATGGATGGGCAAAAGTCTAGATGAGGAGAGATGATTGATTTGTATAGCTGTATTTTACTGGCAATAGTTAAATCGTTTTTCAATCGACATAGAATTCCATACTTCTTGGCAATTTTCTTAATAACATTGTCAACGTGAGAGTTGAACTTAAGTTTGTCATCAATAATCGCACCAAGATATTTAATCTCCCGAACGCGATCAATGGTCTCATCATCAATTACAACAGAGACGTTCTAATTTAATCGATTCCGCGAAATTACCATAAATCTAGTTTTACTTGTATTCAATTTTAACTGCTTATGTGATAAGGGTGATACGGTCAAAATTTGGTCAATATCAACTTAACGTATTTCTTTCAATTTTGCATTTAAAAAACCTGAACACCCCTCATTTTGAAGGTGTGTGTGTGTGTAGAATGTTGCTCCTATTTTGATTTTGGAATTCACTCTTCAGTTGTCAAAATGCCGTCCAAGCAAGAAGAGCAGCGTATCAAAATTTTGCTCGCGCATCGCGAAAAACCGAGCTACTCGCACGCAAAGTTGGCAAAATCGCTAAAAGTTGCCAAATCAACCGTTACAAATGTAATTAAAGTGTTTAGGGAACGTTTGTCGACAGCCAGGAAGTCTGGATCGGGGGGAAATCGAAAACCGGAAGCCGCTGAGACGACAAAGAGAGTTGCCGGTAGTTTCAAGCGAAACCCTAACCTCTCTCTCCGAGATGCCGCAAATAAGCTGGGTGTATCGTCTACAACCGTGCATCGAGCCAAAAAACGAGCCGGACTATCGACTTACAAGAAGGTAGTGACTCCAAATCGCGATGATAAACAAAATACGACGGCCAAAGCGCGATCCCGGTGGCTGTACACGACGATGCTGACGAAGTTTGACTGCGTGGTAATGGACGACGAAACCTACGTCAAAGCCGACTACAAGCAGCTTCCGGGACAGGAGTTTTATACGGCAAAAGGAAGGGGAAAGGTAGCAGATGTTTTCAAGCACATGAAACTGTCAAAGTTCGCAAAGAAATATCTGGTTTGGCAAGCCATCTGTACCTGTGGCTTGAAAAGCAGCATTTTCATAGCTTCCGGGACTGTCAACCAAGAAATTTACGTGAAAGAGTGTTTGAATAAACGTCTGCTGCCTTTCCTGAAGAAACACGGTTGTTCCGTACTGTTTTGGCCGGATTTGGCATCTTGCCATTACGGTAAAAAGGCCATGGAGTGGTACGCCGCCAACAACGTGCAGGTGGTTCCCAAGGACAAGAACCCTCCCAACACGCCAGAGCTCCGCCCAATTGAGAAATACTGGGCTATTGTCAAGCGGAACCTAAAGAAGACCAAAAAAACTGCTAAGGGCGAGCAGCAGTTCAAGGCAAACTGGCTTTCTGCGGCGAAGAAGGTGGACAAGGTGGCTGTACAAAATCTGATGGCAGGGGTCAAGCGTAAGGCCCTGCAATTCGGATTTGGAAAAGCGGAAGCCTAACTGAATATTTTTCCTGAATTTTATACTAATTGAACTTGAAAAAGAAATTTAATTTGATTTTTTAAATAAACGATTTCACCGATTTACACGCGTTTTCCCTTGACCAAATTTTGACCGTATCACCCTTTAGTAGAGTACCACTTGATTGCACATCATTCTGTTTTAACCTGAAAAGATATAAAGCATCAGCTCATTTTCGCTTCGGACGGCGTGGATAGCAATAGCAGCAGTAGGAAGGTGGTGGCTAGTCCACTTTTCTACAACCCAACAAGCAACAATTGACTGGTCGTGGCAAAGCAGGTGCCAATCGTCATCACAAATTCTTCGAGATAACCACCATCCGTCGTCTGGCTCGCCATGGCAGTGTCTGACGTATCTCCTGTTTGATTTACGAGGTGTGCTGAATGTGTTCCTGAAAAATGAGATCCGTGATGCTATCACCTACACTAAACATGCCAAGCGTAAGCTGCCATGGATGTCATCTACGTTTCGAAGTGACAGATACACACTCTGTTTGGTTTCGGAGGTTAAATCATCAACAACTTTGGCAACAAAACGGCCCTTTTCAGGGCCACCAAGCTAATTACAAAGAGTAGGAATAAAATTCATCTGTCTGTTTGTCCATATTCAGAATCAAACGCCTCCAACGACCACATCAAATGCTCATGTAACCAAACTGGAAGCAGGGGTACAATTGATTTTGATCAACTTTGATTGAACCTAAGTGGAGTTGGGAATGCATCCATTTACGTTCAAAGCAAAGTTTGCTAAAAATATAAATTACGATTACACGACAAATGAGGTCGACTCAACGTTGAGATTAGTTCATTCATATTCTTGAAAACGTATTTAACTTTCCAAGCTTTCACATGAATTTGTTTTCTAACATGAGCAACATCCCGATGTGCATATGAAATTAGTACACGGAAAAAAGTTTTCATGTAGTTTCCATTGGCAATGCACACAATATTTCTCCATTAACAAAACCAATTATATCTATCTGAATTTCTCATAACATTCATGTAATCACATGAGTTCTATATGATAAATCACTTAAATTTCATTTGACACATAAGGTTCATATGATTTTGTGGTTCAATTCACAATTAAAATATCACATGAAAGGTATGTGAAATTCTAATGAATATTTTCCATTGGATATAACCGCGCACGGTCAGGACCCATTCCTACGTTGTGAATTGATGAACAAAAGACGATAATTATTTCGGCCGTCCTGCCATGGCAGAGGCAGATGATACTGTGTTATATTTATTGTATTTGTTTTTCAAAGACAGCACATTACAGAGAAACATTAAGAACAAGTGGTGGTTTCTATTGATTGTTAAGGTTGATATAATCTACTTAGGGCCAAGGCGGTAAATGTCACTTATACGAACAGGATATGTGATTTATTCTTTGAGTGTATACTTCTATAATGAGAAAATTTTTCGTCAATTTTATCATATTCAAAATGATGTATGAGGTTCGGAAAATTTTACTCAATTTACAAGTAAACTTTTTCTAGAGTTTGAGTAATTTAAACTTAAATTTGAGTCGATCTTATATGCAATGTAGTGTGGAAATCCGTTAGCTACTGGTCCTTTTGCACGCAGCGGGGGAACGAGCACATCTTAGTGAGAGATTAAACTTTCCACCGCTTAAATATGGAGAAATCGACAATCAAAAGAGCAATTTATAACCTTATTAATACGATTCTAAACATTTCGTGCTCAATTTGTGGAGCAATTCCCGGTTTTTTTCCCGGATAAAACCCTACGGCGTTCAAAAATAACCCTATAAAGATAATGATAAAATTTTGTCAGCAGAATTCCTCTACAATATGCAAGGCTGGTAGTTAATATTTTATACAATAGTATTGACTACAATAACGAAAAACGGTGACCAAATAGTGACATTTAT